TCTTGCGAATCCGACCGGCAGAAGGCCCAGGGGACGGCAAGATTATCCTGGTGCAAATATATGGAAGGAGTCTGTTCCAGACTCCATTTGTCTTTTGCCGAAGCTCAGACTCTGGCACAGGATCGGGAACGTTGAAGCTCTGTCTGACGCGTGTGCCTCCGCGACCCGAAAGGAGAAGCGGCGATGGAAGATGAAGATGAAGCACACTGTCTTAGGTGACACTCATAATGTTCATCTTCTTGGAGTTAACTTTTAGCCTCTCTTCCATAGTCATCTTGCACATTTTCCGTGAGTGTCAGTATGGCCACTTAAGCAGCACTATGTTGTCGGCATACTCGAAGTACACAAGTATTGCCGCTGAGAATTTCGCGCTACGTCGCTAGCTGAATCCCAGTCCTTCTCGTTATCGTTTTGGAAGAAGTTCCTCCGCACTACATGGTTTGCCAGATTGTCGAATTACAAAGAGTGAACTCCTCATTTTAACGCACTTCGCTGTTATTATTGAACCAGCGCCACAGTGATTTTTCAATTCATACGAAGCATTTTTTCCACATACGAACCCCTGTGTCAACGTTGTGCAATCGTTTAGCTGTAGACGAAATGAATTATGTGTGAAATCTGTAAACACCTTGCTAACGAGAGATATTACTAGACCTTCTTGCGACAAGGAATATTGCTTTTGCAGCAGCAGCAAATGTTACCTAAGATTAATGCGACAACATTTTTGAAGGTCGCATTCATAAACCACGACTATTCACTGTTCCAGCTTTGTTACCTTTAGATCCCTACTTGCAACAAAAGCGTTACTCTCGTCTGTTGAAATATATAGTAACGAATCAGTTATTACATTTGCTGGCGTTGAATGCAAGGTCGAAGACTTCTTCAGGAAATCTAAAGAAGTGGCTTGTCATGGCTGTTGAAAGCCCCTGCACCTGTCACTACCCCCTTCATATTGAAGACGTTGTCTGTACCTGAGCGATCTTTCTTAGTCTGTCTGATTTTTTCGCCCGATTTGAATGATCGGTGCCCACCTTCAGGTTTCCAAGTATTATCACCATGAATATCTTTTCAGCACAGGCTGGAGGGTGAATATTTGATGGGAGTCGGTACGATTGTCAGTCGAGGCTGTTGCAGTTGGGATGCATACGCCTTACTTCTGGAAGATGTTTCCGAATATCAGGAGGATGCAGGTCAGAAGGTTTTCACCGGCGCGCGCTTCAGGACTTCCGCCATGATCCTGTGATGTTCGCAGGACGTTGAACTGTGGCAATGTGGAATCTCATTTCGCGTTTTGTTTGAACTGAAAATGAGGTGCATTTAACAGCCAGATCTTGTCCACAGTTTTCTGCCATATCAGGGTCTACCGCCGGATTAGAGCTATTAATGAGCTCTTCTGAATGGAGCTTCTTTGTTCCGGCAAACGGCAGCTTTTTGCCGCGGTTCTTTTCAGTTTCTGTGTAGCGGACCGTTGCTTGTAGCCGTTTGCGATACTGTTTACATGTCTGTACATCTGTATTGGCGCTTTGCCACTATTGTTTCATTGTATTATTTCTTACCGTTTGTTCTGTTTAATAATTTGACGTGCAGGCGATTTGCTCCTTCCTTCATTTCTTCAGGATCATGTAATCATATGCACGCACACACTTCGCCGTGTTTGCTAGCGAAACTCTGTTTCAGTCGTGACTCAGAGTTTCCACTTTTGCTGGCGAAGATAATGGTCTTGACAGTCGCAGTGACGTTGCCTTCTGTCAGACGGCCGCAGAACAACCACAGTTCTTGACATGCTGCAGTATTCCATTGCAGCGAACATGTTGTTGATCTCTACCTCGAAACATTGCACGTGTCTTGGTCCTTCAGTTTTCTGTTTGTAATGGAATCCATATTCCATTTGGAACGTGTTCATGGGTTGAGTGACAGTTATGACCGTTTTCCAAGCCTAAAGGTTTATGATTAATAAAAGGCCTTTACGATTAAAAGTGAAAAATTTGTGGCAATTTTCAGCAAGCTACTTATTTATTTTATGTACGCTTCTATTGACTGGTTCTTAGGCGTTAGCGCTGGAACGGATGTTAACGGCTTTAACGTTAATGGGTGTTTCGTTCTTGGTTTAGGCATCACACATACGCGATTTTTGTTTGCTTTCGCTTTTCAAGATCGTATAAATATTTTTCTGAGAAGCCTTTGAATATCTTACTTATAAATGCGTCTTTCTCTAGGCAGATAGCGCATGTACCATTCAGCAAGAAACAAAATGCAGCTTTCAAGAAGATGCTGCAGGACCTATCATAGCGTGCTACCGCGCTTGTGTGGCTGACGTGTAAGTATAGAAAAAAGTTAACTTTATCATTAATCTGTTGTTTTTATTATGACTGTCATAATCACTGGTTTAGCCTTCGTTCCACGTCTTTCGGTCACTTGCAATATCCGCGTTGCATTAGGTTCATCCAGTCTTCTACCGTTTGTACAAGCACACTGCCGGGCTCAGAGAAGACTCCAACATCGTTTCTGACCATGTCCCACTAAGTCTTAAGTTCTTTTCCACTTCTTTTGCAATATTATTCAGGGATCAGGGTAACGTTCAGTATGATGGAGGTGAACGTTTTAGTAAATGCCCAAGCCGGCGCAATCGCCATTCGTTCGGGGCTATAAAGAGCTATATGTTATTGCCACCGAAGTTATGGACGCGTTTTTGACTTTTGAAAGTTATGAATATGCCTTTAACTTTATTCATTTTATAATTCTGTCTTTGTGCCTGCGTTTAAATAGCATCGCTACTGAAGAATGTGTTGTTTTAGACGTTCTTCTATGGATTGTACGAAGCGTTTGGCAATGCTGAATTTGACGAACAACCTGTTTCGGTTGTATTTTCGGGTATGATATTGATAGTTTGGCTATGCAAGTAAATCTGCGGTCATTAAGGCTCAACTTCAAAGATTCCTTAGAGTTTATTTACCTCATTTACCTCATTTTGGCATCATTGAGAAGTAGAAAATGTTTCAATCAGATGTTGTAGTATTACAGTGTGGGGCACTCTGAAGGTATGTTAACATATCTAATTGAAAGCAAGTGATATTGTCACCTGATAAAATTATTGTTATTTTCATCTAGGAACTAGCTGAGAAAGCTTCAGCAGAGTACACGGAGTAGTTTGTGAGTAAGTGAGAGTAATGCAGTATCGTCGCTATAGGCGAGTTTTGTAAAATGTTTAAGCGGGTACTTTGAGCGTCGTTTCCTTTCCAGCAGAATACTATACTGCTTTTCTGTGCTGTTCCATTGCTGTTCTGTGTTGTTTCGTAGAATATGATCTATTACACTCTAAAGCACAGAGTGGACGTCGCTGTTGTTTATCTCGAACTAGTCTGAAAGCCGTCCTTCGAATTTCATGGCGCTAATCATCCCATTGTGCATCTACTTCATTATGACTGTTTCTTTGAAGATTTACTGGCAATATGGTCACACTGATCATGTTTACCAACGTTGATTTTTTGTTTTTTGTACGATGGAGTGTGAATTATGAATGTGAATCCAAGTTGTATTTAGATAAGTAGACTGAACCTCCTGAAACCTTTGATACGTGCCATTGAAAACTGCGGTCCGCTCTACGAACATTTTTCTATGGCTGACAAAGTCACGTTTCAGTACTACATTGGGCGTAAAGCTATGTACGATTCAGATTTTAAGGCAGGTAATATACGACGTAAATATCTTTGCAGAAGGCCGATAATCTTTAATAATGTCTTTAGCCGACGAAGCCCTTACATTTGCATTCAACAACTGTTTGCCGTCCAGCATCAAGAACTTGCGTTTGATTCTCGTTTACCTCATTCCCGTCAAGATCTATTTGGTATTGCTTTCTGAATAGTTTAGAAAGTCTTGATGTCATTTGTTTTATTTATTGTTTGAATTATTTAAATGATTCCTCAAGTTGATACCGATACACTGCCGTGAATGATTGAAGCTAATAGGTCTTCTGATTCTTTTATTTGCAGAACGTTCATTCATGCTGTCAACCGTTGATCAGAAGACTTATTAAGTTGAATTATTTAATTTGCTAGCTGTACCTTTTGCCCATGATGAGCAGTAGAGTTAACTTTTTTTGGAGAATCGGTTCGGATTGCAGATATTTAGTGAACGATATACACCCGTCGAACTCTTTGGCATTAGTTTCGAGAAAGAACATGAAAACGGTTCGTTGATTAACTCAAAGTAATAATTTGTCTATGACTGATAGATTTAGCATCGTTCAGTCATTTCATTGAATATAACATTGTGTTGTTCATTAAGAAACCGTGTGTTGCTGATTTCTATGTAGCTATCGCCGCATGAACCAAATATCCCATGACTGTAGTCTTATGAGCTATAACTTGTTAAGATATTTCCCCAAGTGCTAATAGCTTGTCACATCGCTAACACTTTCTCTCCTGCATAGGGGCGAGTTATGTTTGAGAGAATGGCAGTAAATCAGCACAGTACATATGATTCCTTCCTTTCAGTATGTAATTTCAACGAAAAACCCCGCGACCCCGCGCTATATTATTTATCGAAGCAAATTTGCTGGATTTCCTCGTTCATCGTTGCCGTTTATCACTTTATCATTGATTATGCAAGGTCTCTGATCACAATCAGCGACTAAGGCAGTAATGTAGTACAATAATCTTATAGTGGTTTTCGACGGGCGCAATTCAGGTGTCATTTGTCAATTTATTAGAAAGTGAATTACATTTAGATAGAGTGATTTTCATATTCAGTGGATAATGACACCTATATTAATGAAAAACGTTTCCCATAAGATCATCTACTTCCGGAACAGCACTGATATATTCTGTGACTATGGTTACAGGATGCAGGGACAAAGTGACAACGACATATATGACACCGCCATATGGCATGCAAACTTTGCTTCAGTTCAAATACAGGAGAGTTATTGTCGATGCGCATTGTTCTTGCTCTAATCGTGGCATTATAGCATCTCTTTCCTCCTAAGCACGCAGGGTTAAAGAGAAGCGCTCTTACTTAGTACTTTATTACTGAGCGATTTAAGCATGCCATCATTCCGTAGTATTGTCTGAGCATCTGCAGTGCTTCGGTTTCCGTAGTAACGTTAGCGGTTGTGTATGCGCTATATGACTATATACTGTGAGTTTGCTTTCCATTTAATTGTTCAGTATTATGTGGTGTCTTTGCTTGGTTGTTATCTGCTTTACGCTGTGATTTGTTGAACGTGAATTATACGAAGCACTGAGATAAAGTTACCACCAAACGTAACTTTATGATTCTACGGATGAAGGCATAAACTGTATATGTAACGTTAAGTTTTTCGTAATAAGCTCCTGCTGTCTTTATTTGTTGCAGCTCGTTGTCACTCTGAGTATATTACAGATGTTTTGAGAAGCATCAGTTGCGCAGTATTCCATATATTTTTTATCGCGTGAATATCTCGTAGATCTGGTTGATGCCTGTGAAAACTGGATAAATTTGTACTTGCAGATGTACAGCAAATTTCATAGTACGCGATTTTAGGGCTACTTGCCGCCGAAGAATCTGTTGATGAAGTACAACCTTATGGAATTTTTTGCCGTTGCAGAAGCTGTGAAGTAATTTGTGATTACCGCGCGAGATGTTTCAGTTGTTACCATATTTAGACATGGGGACGTGTACAGACTTGAGGAAATTATTTGCAGCTATAACCCATTTTTCGTGAAGTCTGGAATTTTCTTGATGCTGGACAAACTGAAGATTATGGCATGCCGGACTTTGTTCAAAAAGACGTAAGCATTCTTTTATATAGTCATGAGCATGAAGGGTGCGAATGCAACAGAAAAC